GGGAGTTGGAAAACCCTGATTCCAAACCAGTGATGCACATGGGCTTCAGTATCCCGAAGGAACAAATGGCGTATGAACCAATCGTTAGTCACTGGCTACCATGGGACTGCATCTTCTGACGTTGCTCCACTGCCTTGTGGATCAGACTTTTAGGTCGAAGTCTCTGGGTGTGGTCTCGTAAGAAAACCACCTGCTTCAATTTGGGCACCCGAGCAGTATCCCAGCCCTCATATCTATTTAATGCCTTCTTGTGCCTACGTTTATGTTTAAACAAAATAACTAAGTGAAGCTTAGAAAGCTGTCGAATTCTTCAAACTTCATGTACTGTAAAAGCCAGGGTGTGTAATTGGTAGGTATTTGGTGGGCAAATGCTGTAAGCAATCTTGTGACCACAAGTAGTTTACAACGGAGGAAGAAATATGTTAAAGCTCAATAAAGTTATCTGAAATTGTAAATCAACCTAGTTGAGCTGGTCTTAAAATAGACCAGTGTAAATTGGAACGGAATTCGCCTTAAATTTTCACACTAGTTGTTAAATAGTTTTTGATTTTATAAGTTGTTATGACTAATTTCAACTCAAGGTTCATCATGAATAAATAAGAGATTGTGAATATCGTTCATAAAAATAAAACAGGTTACACATCATTTATCAACCAAATTATATGATACACGTTTAAAGTAGTTCAGTTTTATGGTTTAAAGTACAACCAGAATACGTTTCTGCACTCACAAGATAAATTATAAGAGCTGTATTTCAAATACTTTTGGATTATGTTTAACTATGGAACCCAGAACCAACATTCCATCCTATTTCGGGTCAGTCAGCTGTTTTAATCTACATCCCACTGTTGATTTTCATGCTGAAATTTGGACATATTATCTGTTGCTTCAAACCCCCAATAAGTTATACACTAAGATATCAAGTTCGTTTAACCATTGAATAGTCCAACGAGGTTAATTAAGGAAACGGATTTTACTTATACAGTAAGTCAGATATTTATTCTTTCAGGACTAGGTTTTTGAACTTCAATTTATTCTTATGTTATGAGTATATGAAGATTTCTGTTAAAAAAAATTGCCAGCTGACCCAATAAATGGTTTAAAATTTTCATATAACAAGATATATGTATAGTTACTTACTATTGCAAATATTAACTACTTATCGGAAAGAACACGAATAGTTACATATTCTACATAGCAGAAGTGGATTTTAAAGGTGTTATTAAAGTTACTTGTACTTTAAAAATATATGACATTCAAAGGAACTGTGTGGACTGCAACGTTTGTATCTCGAGATACTAAGCGTTGTCTTTCATATCTAATTATAACTCACATATAAATAGTAGAGTCTAATCAATAAAAATTATCCCATAATTTTATTGTATGCTACTTATGCTGACAGATATAAGTAATATGTAGCAGCAATCGAGAGTGGGATGCCTGTCGTCAGAATTTTGAGTTAAAGAAAACAGGAAAGGAAACCAAAGGCAATTAGAATAATAACAGAATTGGAAGAATCATGATTTTCATACTTAACGAAAGCATTGTGTAATTTTGCATTGAACGATAAATTGGTTTGCCCCACTTAATGATTGTTCACTACACAAGATTTAAGTTACTTCTGATTTTTTGAGAAATAGGTTCAGATTCGTCTAGCTTCATTATTGTTTTTAGTTATTGTTTCAGTTGGTCTAAAGATGTCTATTAAATGTTCAAGATAAAAAGTATATTTTAGTGAATATTTATGAAGTTAACTGGATTACACTTACACTGGTTACACTTACAAAAAGTTAACAATTAAATATACTTTGAGGCATGAAAAGTCTAGACCCGATACCTTAGGTGAACAAGGATATAATTATGAAAGTATTTTAGAGTTTGTGCTTCTAGCTTTCCTTCAACTAGTAGTAGTAATGTTTTGAAATACACTCGCCCATTCGTTTTTATACAATTTGCTCCAGGGAATAATATGTTTTCCACATAAATGATACGAAACTTGTTACTCTGTTGAGTTGTATTTGACGCCGTTCAACGATGTCAGAAGTGAAACAGATATCACTAGAAGTATTGAATAATCTTTGTGTTATAGTTCCACAATACTCTTCTTATTTTAATAGTTAATATAAATCAATTTTATTTGGTAAGATGATTTACTTAGACTACCTTGATAGCTGAAGTTTTTCCATTCTATTTTTTTCTATTTCATTACAATCTAGACGAAAACACCTAACTTCGTAAAGAATTTCGTAAACACAATTAGTGATATCCCTTATTTAAACAATAGTTCTGAATAATATTTATTGACTCAAAGGAAGTAAAAACTTGGTTAGCTGGTGAAACTTTAAATAAATAAATAAATTGTTTATATATATTAAAGCTTTAATCGACTCATGAATTCAACCAGAATTTTCACAAAACCCCCTTTTTGATAATCATTATGTGCTTACGAGTGACTGGTTTCAAGAAGTATTTCCTGGAGTTCTAGTGAGAATCAGTGACCAGTGGAGTTCAACAGTGTTTGTTGTAGGATAGTAACTCACTGAAGACACTGGTGGACGGTGGCGCAATTTCGTGGATTGGTTGGTGCTAGACAATAACACCGCTGGATGCCGGCTCAGTGACCTAGAAGTTAGGTGCTCGAGCGCGAGACCGAGGGTCGTGGGTTCGAATCTCGAGGGGCGGGATCGTGGATGCGCACTGTCGAGGAATCCCATACTAGGACGAAACGGCAAGTTCAGTGCTTCCAGGTTTTCCATGGTGGTCTAGCTTTAATCGACTCATGAATTCAACTATTGATTGTTTATAGTTAGATTTATATACTTATAAGGAAAGAAAAGCAGATGGCAGCTATAATCTATTTTATTTCATCAGTCTTTCTAACAAGCAATTCCTTTGATCATGAAAACATGTAAATGCTTTCAAATAGCTGACTGTCTAGACTTGTAGTACACTACAATTCACAAAACATATATATTTGAATGAGATAAGAAGAAAATAAAATGTGGCTGATTGAATCTGTTTTATGTGAAGTCTTTGAAATCGATCATTTATTAATGTATTTTTTATTTATATTATTTGGTGTAAAATAAACAGTTATATTATGGAAATATTGTTCGAGAAAGAAACATGAATCCAATTATTACATTTTTATGAGTTTGTATCCTCTCCTCTTTGAAAGCCAAAACTTGGCTTCAAGTATATCCAGATGAAAGGTGTCAAATATAACGAAATATGTGTCCTATCTCCCACTGCTAGTCTCAATTCAAATTTATTACAAACTTGTAACCATAAAACAATATTGAGGAGATCTACTCATAATGAATATGTCCCGATAGAGATTGATCAATTGGAGCATGTGATATCTACAATGGGAAAATATAAACTCTTACAAATAACTTCCAACATGTTGAATAAATTAATGAATATTCGAATTGATTGCATGAATGGTTATATTTTCAGTAGTAAGATTTGCGGATAAATTGATTCCTGAAGGAACAGTAGTTTGACTGGAGGTTAAAATTACGCCTTGTATAAAATCACGAGATCGCAGTGTGGAAGAGCGTCATCCCCGGAAGAAACAGCTGTCCAGTACTTTTTGACTCTCAGTATTTTTTAAAGTTGTTATTTATCCACCACAGAATTTAGCTTTAATTTGATAGAATTAATACCATACTCTTTTGTTGCTTATTAAAAACTTTTAAGAATGTGAACTGTAATCCGAATAACTAGTAAAATCTAAAAAAGAATAGATGATTTTGAAAAGGTTAGATTAGTTTTATTGATCGCCCAGGTTGTATATATCAAATAAAGGACAATTTGTAGTTTATTATTGAGAACACGTTTATATATATATATATATATATATATATATATATATATATATATATATATATATATATATATATATATATATATATATATATAATGATAGCACTCATTGACTTTGTATGCAAGTCTTTTGATGAAGTGTGTTCTTCTGGTATAAATTACAGCAATGAAATTTCATCGTTTAGACTGTGAATAATGATGATGTTTTAGATATTGAGATCAGATTTACCGTTTGAGTAGTAAAATTTATCAGTCGATGAATTAGTGAATATCCGTCTGCGTAGAATTTTACTCATGTTGGATATCGTCTACCTGGTTATCTAACGTTCTTTAAAGTAAGAGCATTTCAAAGCAGGTTTTGTGACTATAAGATTAATACATGCTCAACTATAAAGTTAAAATTGTTTATCATAAATGAAAATTAAATCATCAAAATTGTGTTCTTCATGTACTCTGCTAATACACATAAGGCGATATGTATTCGGTTCACTACGTCAAAAGTTTTTGAACTCTTTTGTTTGTTCTTTCTAGAAACTGCATGGTTCTGGAAAATTTTTACTGGGTAGATTTGTTTCTTTTAAAAACGAATTGAGATCAGCTGAAAAATTACTGCAAGCAAGGAAACATTGAATATCTGTCTCATCCTACTTTGGTTGTCCTATAGTGGGCGTCCCATTATAAAATATGGAACCAAAGCCAGGACTTTTACGTCTTAGGACGAGCACTACACTTTTTAATTGATGAACTAGTATCCAATAATCGACATTTCCAAACTTCCGCTAACCTGGATATTGTCCAGGCATTCGCAATGTATGGTTCATTAGAATTTGACTGTCTAGGTTAGTAAAAGCACAAAGGTTTAAAGCGAGTTAGGAAATATAATATTTAAATGTTAACTAAAGGTATTTTTTGACACAAAGTGAAGTTATTCACGTTATTCTGTCTAGAAGTGAGTAAAACAATTAAAATCGAAGATGTACATACATTTCAGTCAGTATTGTAAATTTACAACACGTTTAAATTATGCAGTTACATTTTTTAGAATAACCTAGCTCGATGAACCATTTATTTATATTAAGTTTAATAACTGAATTTGAAAGCCGAACACAAGTTAAATTTAGATTTAAATAAATATAACCAAAATCTGTGTCACCTTAGTACTTCATGTTTTTCTTTGGAGTTGTGATGGTAGAACGATGGGGTGATGTTTTATGAATCAATTTTCTATTCTCACAATAAATTCGGTTTTCACTTTAATCATTATCTCCACCACTATAGTATGAAAGTATTCAATAACTGATATAGTTGATTTATTGCTAGTATTATGATGAAAAACACTGAACATCAGTTTTATTCGACTAAATACAATTATATTTTCACGTATTTTTATTCTATCAAAATATTTTTTTATTTTTATTTTCTAAGGTATGCAACATGTACAAGGACATCCATATCATCCAACTCTCATGAATGGTTCATTAGTTTCATCACATATAAATAATGAGGCATTAAGTTTACAAAAAGCTTTGTCTAATATGCATGCAAGACATGATATAATTTCACATTCTATTCAAGAAATGGAAGAAATTAATACAAAAGTATTGGCACATCGTATAAGTTCAGAATTAAAACGTTATAGTATACCACAAGCTGTTTTCGCCCAACGTATTTTATGCAGAAGTCAAGGTACATTATCTGATCTTTTAAGAAATCCTAAACCATGGAGTAAATTAAAATCTGGTCGTGAAACGTTTCGAAGAATGTGGAAATGGTTACAAGAACCAGAATTTCAACGAATGTCCGCTTTACGCTTAGCTGGTGAGTACTAAGTTATTATGTGTATATTAACAGGTTTTTAAAAAAAATTATATCACTCATTTACTGCCTGCTAATGAACTATTCCAAGCTTTAAACTAAACTTAAGAAAGCCTTTTAATATGATTTACTTACAATTAGGAAGCTATATTATATTGAGTGCGAATACTGTAAAGATTAATGATAAATTAAGGGTGCTGTGCTTTGTAAGTAGACGATTTGATTTGATTAATTATTATTCGACCTTTAGAGTAGGGGACTGTAACAATAGTCTATAGAACTGTCAAAACTGTCGTTCAAATATTCACGCTTTGATTAGGAAACTAACATCAGTCATCTCTCTTCGTATGTGAATATTCACCATATACGGATTGATTGTTTTGGTAGTATCAGTCTTATTTGAAATAAGTGCTGATAATATCGTCCAGAACCACAATGAAAGTTTTCAAACTGAATCAATCAGCTCAATGAATCTTGTACTATAAAATACATTGATCTGAGATAGTGATTTTCGCTATCACCGAATGATCATGGCTAGAAACTATTGACTTCAAATTGGATTACCAATTTGTGAAATTAACACATTAGCTCTCTCTGCCTAGCTATTATCACTAATCATTCCCATTTATAAGAATGAATCTAATCATTTGCATGTCAGTAGTCAGAAGAGAAATCATTCGAACAACATAGGTTTGCATCATATTATTGCCGCGTATTTTGTATTCAACAGAAACATGGGAATGGCCAAGCCTAGAATATCATATGAGCTGAATAGTTATTTGCAGTTATATGCGCTAAATCTTTATTTTTTGCTATTTTGAGAAATGAACAGATGGTTACTTATGCTACGTTTTGAACACACTTAACCTGATGTTTTGCGGTTAATTAATCAATCACTTTGGAATAATGAGAAATGTAAACCATAGCCACATTGACTAGGTAGTAACTGTCTTCAAGCTACCAATGGAAATAATCACGTTAAATAAAATTAGCCAATAATATTGTTTATCCTAGCTTTCATTCACTTTTGTCGTATGGGTGCATTGTGGCATGACTCTGTTTTCATCCTAATTCTTAGTAGCTGATATCCTTCTAAGAGATCCGCCGACAAAATTAAAGTGCAGAGATGATGGTTCTTAGTTGACTGATGGTATTAGTGAAACGTAGAGCCCCCAAATGTCCTGATACGACCAAGGGTGGGGAAATTCTATTCTTCCCAAAATGCCCTTGTGTGGCCACGCATTTATAGCCACTGTCGAGGAAGTCCTACTCACTGCCTTCTCACGGAGATGTTGTTTACAGAAGCGAGAGGATGAATGCAATATAACCTGGTTGTTAGATATGAGGAACTCACATAATAGAGTTGAAAAACCCCGGTTCTAGACCACTTGTGAATGTGAGCTCCGGGATCCTGAGGGATCGATCGGCATATGAACTTGTATCTGGCTACCGACCACCATAGGGCTGTTCCTCCTGATGCTACTCAATTTTCCTATAGATAAGACTTCAGTCAAAAGTTCGTGGAGTGGCCGTCTAAGAAAGCCACCTAGTTCTGTCTGATTGCTTTATCAATAACTCAGCCACACACAAATTTTTTGGTGACTACAATTGAAGGAAATAATCACTATTTCTCTTTCTCGCAAGCTAAGTTCAAAACTACTTAAGGCCTTTTAAACATCCTCTGTAATTTTGAAACGTCTGAAACATGTTACAGACCTTACTTTCGGAATCCTTCAGGACTGTTTTAGGGAGTTTATAAGAAATGAACTGGCTCAGTAGTTTTTATATCCAAGAGTTGTACTTAGCTTTTGAACGCTTGTGGTCGGCAAATTGCTTGAAGGATAATAAAAATTAACACGATTTTCTCATTAGTAGAGTGGGTGTAATATCTTAATGTACTTCATGAAGTATTTTTGCTATTCAGGAATGGATTATACCATATGTGAATAATACCTATTTTCGATCAATGATACTCTTAAAGGATCAAAAGGAGTTTATGGAACTGCTAGATATTGATTTTAGTTTTATTCAGTTCTAGTTAAATGAAATGCACTAGTTGTTCATGTTAAAAACCTTTTTAAACTGATATTCTTGATATATGTAGTGTACTTATTAATCGGTTTCCTGATTTAAGTTAATTAAGTAAAGCCCTACACGAAGTGTTCGATAAATTGTTTTGATACATCTGAGAAACTGTTATGGTCTTTCTGACAGTCTTAATCTAGAATTACAGACTTTCAGATGATTTTGCTGAGAATCAATAGTAGTAGTACATATGTATTTACTATTTAATTTTCAGAAACTATTTTCTGTTATAATCTGTCTTTTATTTCCTTCATTCTTGTCTTTTCCATAGCTTCTTATTGCCATTATAATTGTTCCCACATTATTACTTTTGTTGTCTTCTAGGTGATTTCTTTTCTCAATATTGTAGAAAAGAACCTTTTCTTCGCTAAATTATCTTTAATTTCTTTCCACTAACACAATGAGTTTCTTTTGCTATTTCTTTATTGTCTGCGGTGACGTACTATCATATCAGATTCTCCATTGATCTTATTTGTGTATCTCCTTTTTGTTGTATATGAATAGTTAAATATTAGGTAATACCTTGTAATATAGCAACATCGCCTAAGATTGTTTCATTTTGATGTGTAAGTTTAAAAAACAACAATTTCTGAAAGATTATTACACTAGAAAACGGTTTCATTTATTTAGAAAAAAAACTCAAATAGATCTCGTTTGACACCTTTGAAATGCTCATGACACTAGAATATGAAGTTAAATGACATGCCATATGTACATATTTGTCAGTAGCCCCTTTTTACGTTTATTTAAAAATTTCATAATCTGACAGTTGCTATATATTTTTTAAAGTTTATTTTGTTTTCTGCTTTTTATTAGCTGATTTAAGCTAGAAAATAATTACTAGGTCTTTTGTTGAATACAGTATATTGTGATCAAGTGAAGATATGAACGGAGACTCTTAAACTTGTTACGTATAATATAAACTAGGTTTTCATATTCACACAGAGTGAACTTTACTAAAATCTGGATTGATTTGAGTTACTGTATCTTAATAGCACAATAATATTAAAAAAAAAGAAGTAACTAAATAAATTAAGAAGGATTATGACTGAAATAGAGAACAAATAAATAAAGAAATATATAATATTACATGTAAGATTTGTAGCCAGATAAAACACATAGATCCATTCACATCATTATCACTGAATCTGAGCTCTTATCTTTGTTGATCTTTGATATTATTATAAAGACCCTATTCAGTTAGATTAAAATTTTTATCCAAAACCACAAATACAATTATTGTCAAGTTTTTATCTGGTTATCGTTTAGATTTACTCCTGTGAGTCTTGGAACATTTTGTTAGATAGTAACTCACCAAACGTTTCAGGTTTCACACACTTCAGTTCCTACAGCTTTACAATTTTGTCAAATTATGTTTATATAGGTAAATACCACTGTGTCGTTATCTGATAGATATAATTTTAGTGTGCTGTAAAGGGAGAATGAAATGAAAAATTTCTATATAATTGACCGTATATATTACATTATTATCACTAGAAATAACCAGGTATTATGTAAGACTGAAAATATCCAACAAAATAGTCTGCAGGTATTATCCTAACTTACATTATAACTTACAAAACCGTTAATTCCAAACACTTTTAAGGGATTCATCTCCCAGTACTGTCAGTCATAATCAGCTTAGAGCCCGGCAAAGATATATGTTTGCACAAGTTGTCATGCCATATAAGCGCGATGAAATGAATACAACAAGATGAATAACAAGGTAGGTCGAAATAATGTAGTATCAATGAAATAAACATTGGTACTATGACTCAGAGACAGAAAGGAATGGTGTATTTGAAGGAGTACCGAGACTGAAAATCGAGAGAAGAATAAGGAGTGAATGCATCTGGCCCGTTGAGACCGATTCTAAGTCATGGTCACTCATTCTCTAACCACTGATAATGTTTATCATGTTGACGTCGACCAGGTAGTCGATACGATACATTTAGTACTAGAGAGGAAACGGATTATGGGCATAGAGAAGAAAGTAACTAACCTGGAATTCATTCTGTTTGGCCCTTATTGGTAAGACGTATCCGGAGTATGAAAGAGGCTGGAGCGGTGCATTATCAGTTACTTGAAACTGCATTAGGTGATCACAACAGAAACGAAGTTATGACAACGATAATCAACAACCAATTAATGGACGCAATCAGATTTTGATGAGGTTTAGCCTCAAATCAAGTTATAACGTATCTCAGTCTCAGCATTATCTGCATATTACTTTCAATCATCCCAAATGTCAATGTATTTTTGATGAGAAATCTTTTTTAATGAAGTAAAAGGTCTTTACTATCATGTTAATTTATATCTATTTGTTCATTAGCTAGTAATATCTAACTACACTTTGATTTTAATTAACTGTTATTTATTTACCATTATTTGTTGTCTTTTCTTTTTGAAATTGTTATTTACTTTAATTGAGAATAACTAACTTGTCAGATAATTAGTCTTTACTTTTATTTATTATTATTGTTGTGAAATTGAGGCTTTTATTAACTTGTCATTACAATTATATTATAAATTAGAAAGAATTGAATCGAAAGGGATTACTATAGGGAAAATTTTATTTTTCCTTATTATATTACGTAGAAGCCACACCTTTATATTTATAAATATACACTAAATACGTACAAATAGTTGTTATCGAACGTTAACTCGTTTCTAGTATTGCTATATATATATATATATATATATATATATATATATATATATATATATATATATATATATATATATATATATATATATATATATATATATATAATGTCTGTGAATGGGATTGATAGAGTGATAGACAATTATGAGAACTTTATCCAAATAAATAATTAGCGATAAGCGTTAAACAGTTGAATTATTTAATAAAAAGTTTACAGTAGAATGTTATGAAACTCTACAACCAAACAAACTGTTATTATAAATA